TGGAGACTCGTACTTCGGTGAGGGAGGGCACTCTGGCCACTCGTCGTCGTCGTCGTCGAGGTATCCGTATCCGTATCCGTAGTTGTCGCTCATGTAGTTATCGCCTAGGAAGGTATAGTTATCCACATCGGGTTGGATATCGCAGACCTCGTCTTGTTCGAAGTCGTCTTCCGAGGACGCGTTGTCGTCTTCCTGGACATCGTTCGCCTTGTATGCACGCCAATCGGCGAATGACATGCGCAATTTCCTTCTTCTTTGCTTGTTGAATTGAAGTTGGTGGGTTTCGTTTGATGTCCGGATTAGGGGATTAGGCAGGGCGCGCTGTTTCGCCAACTTCTCGCGCAGCAGATCGCTGCATTTGCGTCGATCGAAGGCAATGCTGTTGCTTGACGCAGTATACTGCGTAGCCCTCCAGGAAGGAAGGAAATGCGGTTGGAAGATGAGGAGACTAAGGGGGATCAACTCACGACTGTGCCGTTCAAAGTCGTCGAGGAGACCCCTCCAGTAACGCCCCTGGCAGCGGAAGGGGAGATCCCGCGCCTCGAGGAGGTAGAGGGACTCGATCCAGCGGGCAGGGATCATCGTCTTGACCGGGTAGAGAGATTCGTCGAATCGGCCGTCGCCCATCCCCGGGGACTCGTCCCCGGGAAGGCGGCAATCGGTCGACAGCATGAAGTTGGGGTCGTCTCGGATCGGGAACTGCAGGGGCAGGCTCGGGAGGTCCCAGAGCGACTCGGACTTTCGAACCAGGCTGATGATGGGCGCATCGAGCGCACTGCTCGCATGGCAGTGGTAAGACGGCCACGGGGTGGCTTCGGTGCGGCGGAACCGGAATGGGCAATGCCCATGCGATGATTTGCAGAGCTTGGCTTTCTTCAGTGCGGCGATTGCTTTGTTTAAATCTTTGTCTTCGACTACAAATGTGATGACAACCTGTAGCAGTTGGTTAGTTTCTCTGTTTGTTATTCGTCGTGGATGGTTTAATATTGATCTCGACCACTTACCTGGATGTATAAAAAGTTGGTGATCCCAAGGATACTGTTCATGATATCACTCCAAATCACATTTGGAATCCTGGCATCGTCTAGGATCTTGGCAATCTTAGAGGCGAGCTTGTGTTCAGCTTCCAGCGGACGTTCTTCGAATAGAGACATTTGGTTTGGTGCAGTTATGGCTCAGTTCTTGGGTGTCTGTGGGAAATGCTGTTGGGGTGATGGGTTGTTGGTGTCGTACAAGAGGGTCGTCGACAATGTTTTATATCTTCTTGGAGGACTGCGCATGAACAACTTCTGGTGGGGAGTAATTTGAGATGATAAAGACATGTTGACTGTTTTGGGAAATCCGCGGGTTTCTCCGGGTATAGAATAGGGACACAATCGAAATTGTCTTCTGCAGATTCTTTTTTTCCTTTTGATCCACTGGTGTTACTTTTTCCCGGAAGCCAAGACATAGGAAGAGTCCGGTGAAGTCGGACGCTTTCTATCCGCTATTCTCATTGGTATCGAAGGAGGTTTACGGCGGAATATGAGACAGCTGCATTTCTAGAAGCAGAGCCCACGTTTCTTCCTGTGAAGATGTTTGTGCTTGTCTTAGGTGGGGGGGGAGAAAAATGGAGAGAACTGAGGCCTGAGGGGTACATAGCTCATTCAGCGCATTCAATAGTGTGGAACAAGAAAGGTGTTTCTTTCATTGTCATTAACAATTCATGTTTCATCGGCTTTGGCATCCCCATAGATGGCTGGTCCCAGCCGGGGACTATCGTCCAGAAATGAGCTAGCTGGGTTAAGTAGTTCTCGATATCGGCCATGACCACTTCGCCCGTCTGAAGCTTCCGTTGTCATTTCCTCTTCACGTCCTGGTTTCGAAGACAACAATGGTGTTGTCATCGGCTTTGTTGTACACGAGAATTGTCCTTGTTACTGCGTCCCTTTGTCCGGTGGTTTCAAGAGTGCGACTCTGAAAGACCTCCATCTTCCCATTGTGCTTCGTTTCCCAGCTTTGTCCCCGAGACAGCCATTACACGTGGCATGGACTTGTATTTCAGTCATCAGGCAGATGTATGTTTAATGACCTTGTACTAGCACAGTCATGGATGGAGAAGATCCGAGTCCATTGCTTTCTTGACAGGATGTTCAGCGGGGCGCTTATATAATTGCATCAAAGCCCTACATTTAATCCCAGACAAAAGGAAACTTCGAAATTGAAAATCATTCCTACCCTCGAATTAACTTCTGTGTTTGTTTAATAGGTGGGGGATTCCTTCGCATTCACTGGTGGTTTGTATCTTACATGCACGATACTGCCAGTGGCTTACAGGATGATTAGCAGAAGATACGGTAATAAGACGCACACGGCGTATGGTGTGTAAGTTAGGCCCAACTTTCATCAAATGGGGCAATGGCGCATCTGGGAGCGCGTCAGACTGAAGTCCAAACTTCGGCCATAGGTCATCCCTCGGGATCCCTGTAATCTGAAGGTGGCCGGTTCAAGCCCGGCTTGCCCCAATTCTTTTTTCTTTTTGCCGCCTCTTTACCACCACGAACTATTTCTGTCTAATCTGGTGGTACGTACAAAGAATAATCTTTTTTTTTTTTTTTTTTTTTTTTTTTTTTTTTTTGAAAAACTACATACGCAGTTGTTTTATGCAGGACAATGCTTATTGTTTTCTCTCTCTTTTGGCTAACCTTGCTGCGGTGATCGTGATCAAGACAGGGGATTTTATTACATGGAATACTGTTTCTGACCTGGCCCGTTTATTGTTAAACTGGTAAAGTTTAGACACCCCTCTGTACCTGCCGTTGTACGATGATTATTGATCATCATTCATTGCCTATCGATAATAAGGCAGTGTTTCACCTGGGCTTTTATCTAGCTTGCTAGTCTGGGGATCATGCTACTGTCTCGCGGCGATATTACCTATCTACAGAGGTACACAATGGAGGATATATATCCTAGATCCAGTGGTACTGGCTGGTATAGAATATTACATTGCCTGCGACTTGAGGCTGACCCAAGGAAAGACCACCAGGTACACCAACACAGAGAGAACAATCACACCATAGAGAGCCCGGTCACCGAATAAACTTAACCATACCCACCCACCATGACCACAACAGACTGCCTGGTCTCATCGCCGGCGGCCTGGATACTATGTAGGAATAGGTTAGTATAGTGTACACATACACCCAGAAAACCACATCCCACAATGACAGATTGGAACAGTAAGAGACGTTTACTTCACATGCGTTATCTATATCCAACAGACTTATTTACCTCTCTACATCCAAGAATCATGTCAAAATGACCGAATCCAAATCACCCGTCTGATGTAGTCAACCTAGCCACCAAAGACATCAATCACGGGGCAATGGCGCATCTGGGAGCGCGTCAGACTGAAGTTCAAACTTTAGCCACTAGATTCATCCTCTGCGATATTTCTGTAATCTGAAGGTGGCCGGTTCAAGCCCGGCTTGCCCCATTATTCTTTTTTTTTTTTTTGTTCTGGTTATATTTTGATGGCGAAGCATAATTGATTGTGGGTCAGTGCTGGATGGGGCTGGCGGGTGGGGCCTTGCCGCTCTAGGGCTAGCGTGCCCTAACTCCTGTCAGCTATTGACATGGGTCGGTGCCGAGAGCGTTAGCTGCTTGCCTCAGCCTGACAGCCTCGCTGATCGGGAGGTATAACTTTTCGCATGGGTCTCACTATCATGGTTGTTGCTCTACAATTTTTTTTTTTTCATATATATATTACTATCTTTAGGATATAGAGACATCATCAACACTACGCTGTACATACACATATTTCCCTCACCAGGAAAGCCAATACAAGCACCACCACACAAAAAACAGCCAGAAACCAACCGAAGCGGAGAAGAGAATAGATAGTCGGTTCTTCACAGTATACTCAAGCCTTACAGTCTGCAGCCCTTCATAATATGTTGACTCGATACTATCCAGCCCCGGGGATGTCCGGGTCAATACATCTGCGGAATACAACATCCCAGCCGGCTGCATTACATTCGAAGCCCGTGGCAACGATAGACATCTGACTGTACCTAAAACATCCTGCATTATATGCCATCAATCTGTAAATCTAAATCTGAATAATCTCAATCTGCCTCCAAATACTTAAAAGCATGACACATACCTCCTATTTCTGATATCGCACTACCCAAAGCCCGACAACTAATCAATCAACAGAGTAACAAGATCCAACATAATCATGTCATATATACACCACACCCCCCTTTCAAAAGAATCTGTATCTGTTACACCCAACCCCGTCCACATGCCATGCAGAGTCAGCCCAATCAATAATAACATGCACATTAACTTAAGCTTAAAAAATAACCTTCGACAATGGACATGTCTTACCCCACAGCAACGACACACAAAACCAGGAAACAAGGGACCAGGCAATCGCTACTCCATACACATCATACAATCCAATAAAGAGAACCATATCGATCCGAAACTCATACTTTTTGTCTGGAAGTATACTTGCTTATTCCGGGTGCCGAAGGCTATATACCTAGGTAGGTAGGTACGGAGTATTCTCAATTTACCTGTGGGATGAGATTAACTATGTTACACGATCTAGATTGGGCTGTAGTTGTAGTTGAATAATAAATTGGACTGTCTGCGACGTAGACACAAGTACCTAGAATGTTGGTTATATTGTGGATTGGATATAAGTAGTAGATTATCTCGACTGAATATCCATACCTGGGCTCTAATCCTCAACCGAACCAGCGAGTAAGTGAATACCTATGTATCAAAACCCAAGAGCGAATACAACCCAGTCCCAAACAATCCACAGTGACCAACTAATGTATTTCATTCCAATAAAACACACACACGCACAAAAAAAAAAACCAAATGAATAAACGAATGCCAAAGAACCCCCCCCTAAACACAGCTATGTACGAAAGACACGTCAAATGCTAACCCAACTACCTAGCCGAATAGAATTTCCAAACGGGCCCCAATTTCCATCAATCGGGGCAATGGCGCATCTGGGAGCGCGTCAGACTGAAGTCCAAACTTCGGCCATAGGTCATCCCTCGGGATCCCTGTTAATCTGAAGGTGGCCGGTTCAAGCCCGGCTTGCCCCAATTCTTGCTTTTTTTTTTTTTTTCGATCCGCTTTTTCCCTTCCACACCGTAACTACACCTACTTACTTACTACTTACCACACAGAAAATCACCAAGCAACCAAGCAAGCAGCCCAATTGAATTATTATCATAATAAGTCTTGGTTATCCCGGGTTCTTCTTCTTCTTTCTTTTTTTTTTTTTCGACGAATATATTACAATCAAGAGACACCATTGGGGGAAAAAAAAAAAAAAAAAAAAAGATAAAATCAAATTTGAGTTACCGTGGGATCCTGGAGCCCTTCATTTCGTGCTCCTTCTCGACCCTTGTAAGCGCACCCAGTAGATCCGTGGGAGGATGATTCAATGCCCCCGTCCGTTGAAAAGTCCCCTCCTGCTGCGCCTTTCCCAAACCCCACTGGACCACTCCGCCACCGCAACATTATGCGCGCCGACACTCCCGAGAGTATAAGAATTGTGATCGTTGGCCTTCCTGGGAAGGTCGGGGTGTGGTTCGTCGAGCATAGCCGCAGCAGCAATCAGCTCTTTCGGCAGCGCGCATACCCATCCCACGGTGTAGTCGGTATAGGTACATGGCTTGGTAGTCATCCCTAGTAGTGTTGCTTGTGGGAGGGGATGATTGTTGTGTCGGAGGAGTGCGTTGAGATGGATTGAAACACGGGTGGTAGGTAGACTGAGGTGAGTTGGCTTTGCTCGAATTCTAATGTACTTTTGAAAAGCTTCAATGAGCTCTTTCTGCTTAATGTTGACAAGAAACCACGCTGGGTTGGATGTCAAGACCGAGTCTGCGTCGAAGAAGAGATCAGACAGATACAGGATGGGATCGAGACACCCTACCTAAGTTGCGGGGTAAACCAACCATGTTAGGCGCCCATTAACTGGATATTACATTGCATGGAGGACAAGCGTGCTAGATAACCGCATTAAACACTCGATGTAAGCTAGAATACGTGTAGCATACTATCCTATCTCATCCACTTATTCTCATGTATCTTGTAGGCTGTCATATTCTCCTGTCTGCAAGCTCTGTAATACCAGCCTGCAGTCCTGTGTAGCACAGTCATTTTAACATTTTGTTTTTTAGCAGAGTACATACATACATACATACATACATGTTTCTTATATTCTTTCTCAGTAAGTATTTCCGCTATCGTAAAAATCAGAAGATCATCAATAAATCCCGTGACACATTCATAAGACACCAAGAAATCAACCCATAAGGCAAAATTCCTTTATAAGTCAATCAAACCAAAGGGTAGCACCATCATAAGCTCAGTAGATTTATAATGATGATTCATTATAAAAATAAAAAAAAAAAAAAAAAAAAAAAAACTTTCTATAAATTCTTA